TATTAATAATTATTTATTTCTTAAATTATTTTCTAAGACTATACATCAACTAATATGAATATTATGATAAAATTTTCATTATATTAATCATTATTACTTAAATAAAGTGAGTGTATTCGGCCTAACAAACCCTTGAACACCTTCATTAATTGAGTTATCAAAATATTCGGCCGTAGATAATTCATTAAATAAATGGAATTAATAAAAGTACTTTCACACTCTATATATATTGTATGAAGAACATGTCTTAAAATTCATAAGCTACGACTTTCATTCCTCTAAAAAAAAAAAGGCAGATCAAACGCCTTCGAGTTATTGTTATTTCAAGAAATGGACATGGCTTTATCAATGGATAATATTGTTATATCCAATGAAGAAGAAATTTCTATGATGAAAGCTATGCATCTTCCTTGTGGTGTATATCTTAACATGGTTTTAAAAGCTGCCATTGAACTTGACCTATTTGAAATTATAGCAAAATCAACTACTCAAAAACTATCTTCTTATGAAATTGCATCTCAAATTCCCACAAAAAACCCTAATGCCTCACTTGTTCTTGAAAGGATTCTAAGGTTTCTTGCTAGTCAATCTTTTCTCACATGTAACATTACAAAAAATGATGATGGAAATGTTCACACATCATATAATTTGACTCCATTAAGCCAAAGTTTAATCTCAAATAAAGATGGAACATCAATTGCACCCTTTTTACTATTGTCTACTGATCCAGTTGCTGTTAATTCTTGGTGAGATTTCATGTTTTCTCATACTTGAATCATTGAGTTAAACAACTAATTTTATATTATCAAGTCACCTGAAAGATAACTGCACATGATCATGATCATTATGAAAAATAAGGCAAGTTTTCTTACAATGTAGTATTTTTATTGGCCGTCTTCTTCTTTTTTTGGGACATTGTTTCGTTAAATGACCATCTTTTTATTTATTTAACAAGTTATGGGCCTTTTAGACAATATGTTAATTAATTAAAGATTTATTTTCAACAAATTAAAATTAAAATCTTATAGCAAACGTTAGACCATAGAGATGAAATAAAAAAGGTGGCCCAGCTAAAAAAAGATAAACTGACACATAAATCAGTCTAAAATACACTGACTATGTAAAAATACATTATTCTCATGTCAATGGAGTATTAATTATGTAACTTAATTAATCCCTTGTTTTTCATTTGTGATCTTAAATTAGTAAATATTAATTGTATATACATTGTGACCTTTTTCTTCTTTTTTTTCAAGTTTTCATTTGAAAGATGCAATATTAGAGGGTGAAATACCATTCAACAAAGCTCATGGAATGCATGCATTTGAATACAATGGAAAAGATAGTAGAATGAATGAGGTATTCAACAAAGCTATGCAAAACATCACTTGCATTGAAATGAAGAGAATTGTTGAGTGTTACAATGGGTTCAAAGGAGTAAAAGAGATAATAGATGTGGGAGGTGGACTTGGAATATCATTAGCTTCTATAATTTCCAAGTATCCTAATATCAAGGGTACTAATTTTGACCTACCTTTTGTCATCAAAGATGCCCCTACTTATGAAGGTAACTATCAAAACTATATGTATTATAATTTATTTCAGAGTATTGATGGAACATGATAGAATATTCGTATATTTCCTATTCCTTTTGAAAAAAATGATAAACTTCAAACAATTTATTTTATTAATTTAACCATCTCTATGTCTACTTGAATCGAATATTTTGAATACCAACTAGGATTTACAACACTAATAAATCACATAATATATCATTTAGTGCAATTTTTGTAAAATAAAAGATAATGCACATGCATTTAATTGAGAAAGATGAAATTAAGCTTCAAATACTCTTGCTTTCTATATATTAGGCATAGAGCATGTTGGAGGAGACATGTTGAAGAGTGTTCCTCAAGGGGAGCTAATCATTCTGAAGGTCAGTATTCTTGTCATATATATATTTATATTTTTATAACTGAAAGTTAGTACGTCTAGCAATCTCTGATTTGATAATACTAACAAATGTACGTAGACAATACTTCATAATTGGGATGATGACGATTGCGTGAAAATATTGAAGAATTGTTGGAGAGCATTGCCAAAAGATGGTAAAGTAGTTGTAATTGAACAAATACAGCCAGAATATCCAGAGACAAATCTTCTCTCTAAGCATTCATTTAGTTTTGATATATCAATGATGTTTATATTTCATGGAGGCAAAGAAAGAACAAAACAACAATTTGATGATTTGGCTAAACAAGCTGGATTTACATCTCTCAAAGTTGTGGCTCGAGCATATTATTCTTGGGTCATGGAATTCTACAAGTATTAATTACCTATACTTTAATTAATTTCTGCTACAATAACACCCTTTTTGTTCTAATTTATGTGATACTTTGAATTTTGAGAGTCAAACTTTTTAATTTGATCATGAATTCGGACATATATAGATATTTGGAAACTATATATGTAAGAATCGCGGTCAAAAGAGAAAATCATTTAACTCTTGAAATTCGAAAGATAGACATATAACTTGGGACAAAAGGAGCTAGTAAGTCTTTAATTATAGAATAAAAAGTTGATTGATTTATGTATTTACTGGCTATTTCCAATTATGTTTGTTTGTTCGTTGCTTATGTAACATGATTTTCCTTGAATTAAAGAAGGTCCTAACATTATCTTGGATTTTTTTTATTTCTGTAATTATTTTTTGATGTTTGGTTGGTGAAAGCGTTGATTTTCCTTTGATTCAAATTAAATAAATAAAAAATATATATTTAATTTATTTATTATTTATATGGATCTAGATTGACGGACATGCTTGATCCAAATTTAAGTCTTTCAATATGCCTCACAAGTCACATCAAATCGATTAATATACAAAATAAGATTTTTTGTCATTATATAATAATAAATTTAACGATACAATATAGTACAATTTAAATAATAATCTAAATAAATATTATATTTAAACTAACGATATAATATAACACAATAATAATCATCCAACTAGGATAGGAAGTCACTTTCCTCATTTTAATGATGGTAACCAAATACCATAAAATTAATTAATGATTTCCTCTTGAGCTACCCGTTTTTCTTGCTTTTCAAATGTTTTTTTAATCTTTTTCCACAAGTTGCTTATCAAGAAATAAAATAAAAGCAGAATTTTTTTTAAAAAAAAACACGTTTCTGCTATTCTATTTTTGCCAAACCCTTTAGGAATCGTATGGTAAGGGTAGGGGTGTTCGTGGTTTGGTTCGGATCAATTATTGATTAAAATTAAAATCAAATCAAACTAATCGGTTTTTTAAATTTCTAAAATCAAACCAAATCAAACAAAAAAAATAACCGTCAGTTTGGTTTTTAACGGTTTGGTTCAGTTTTTCTGATTTTTTCGGTTTGAAAGTAATAATTTTTTGAGGACATATGTATCTTGATAGACACAAACACCTAGTACATGAACAATCCACAGGAAAACTATTGTTGATTCAACTATGCAATTAAGCAATATAAGAGTTATCATTACACTTACAAAGTGATTCAATTAAAAGAAAGTGTGACTATCTTATGAAAGGTATGGTAGGTAAAGACTAAAGTAATGAATTTTGATGGACTTGGTCTTAGGATAGTAATAGCTGGGCTAAAATTTAAGTGTTGGGCTTGAGAAAAGGTAAAGTTAAAGATTTAAGTTACTAAAAATTTAACAAAATATCTATATTTTATTTATGAGTAATATAATTATTAATTATAAAATTTATATATCTAATTTATTGGTTTGGTTTGGTTATTTTTGCAGTTGTTTTTAGTAAAACCAAAACCAAAGCAAATAATATCGGCTTTCAAAATTTAAAACCAAACCTAACCAAATCAAATCAAACATCAACATTTTTAATTGGTTTGATTCGGATTGCAGTTCGATTTGATTTTTTAACCATAACCATGAACAACCCTAGAAAGGGGTAATAATTCCATAAGATAATTTTGTCTCTATTCTATATATTAAACTAATTCTCGTAATATAAATTATTATGATAAAAAGAAGTAATGACAATATTAACCCTCACTTTCATTTATTATGAATGATTGGTTTATTTTTCTTCAGTGGTTGTTAAAATAAGTGTGAAGTTACGTTTTCAGACTATCGTGATTATGTGTTCATCAATGTATGTACTTTTAAGTGATAAAACAAACTTTGGTAACTTTGACGCAATTTTTAAAAATAATTATATGATCATTTGTGAAATATCAAGGAATAAAGCAAGATAAGAAGACGTAGATTGATATATTTAAAAAATAAAATAAAAAGAGACTGTTAAAATGGGAACAAAGAAAAAGCAAAGGCAATCTTCACAACAACTTAAATCAAAAGCACTTCTTTTGACCGATAAATATTCTCTCCGTTCATTTTTATTTATCTATTTTTACACGTTACATATGTCTTTCAAAAAATAATAATTAATATGAATATTTTATCTCAATATCCACATTAATCGTTGTATAGATTTTAGATCTTGAAAATAATTTAAGAATAATCAGCATGTCGAAAAGTTGCATTATTTTATTTTCATTATATATGGTCCGGTTCTTTGACGTTTTTTCTCGGGCAGAGCTAGACGCCCGTGTACGTGTTCGATAGGTATAGTATTCTGCCTAACAAACACTTAAATACCTTCATTAATTCATATCCTAACTTTAATTTTTTCTTATGCCTAACAGACACTTCATTTAGTTTTTATGTATCTTTGTTTCAACATTCTAAAATATACTTACAACCAGAAAAAGTATATATATTCTGCCTAACAAATCCTTAAATACCTTCATTAATTAAGTTGTCAAAATATTCGGCCGCACATAATCCATTAAATAAATGGAATTCAAAAAAAAAGTAGTAACAAGTTTCACTCTCTCTATATATATATATATTGTATGAACACATATCTTTAAATTCATAAGTTTAACTTTAATTCTCTAAAAAAAATAAACAGATCGAACGCCTTCGAGTTATTGTTATTTCAAGAAATGGACATGGCTTTATCAATGGATAATATTGCTATATCCAATGAAGAGGAAATTTCTATGATGAAAGCTATGCATCTTCCTTGTGGTTTATTCCTTAACATGGTATTAAGAGCTGCCATGGAACTTGACCTATTTGAGATTATAGCAAAATCAACTACTCAAAAACTATCTTCTTATGAAATTGCATCTCAAATTCCCACAAAAAACCCTAATGCCTCACTTGTTCTTGAAAGGATTTTAAGGTTTCTTGCTAGTCAATCTTTTCTCACATGTAACATTACAAAAAATGATGATGGAAATGTTCACACATCATACAATTTAACTCCATTAAGCCAAAGTTTAATCTCAAATAAAGATGGAACATCAATTGCTCCCTTTTTACTACTATCTACTGATCCAGTTGCTGTTAATTCTTGGTAAGATTTCATGTTTTCTCATACTTGGTTCATTTGAGTTAAACAATTTTGACACTATCAGGTCAGCTAAAAGATAATTGCACGTGACCATCCATGAATAATGAAAGTAATTATTAGTTGCCTGGAAAATAAGACAGATTACCTGCTCTAATGATGTATATATAATGGGAAAGTTGTTTAGTTAATGACCCTCTTTTTATTTTTCTTAAACCTTATGGACCATTTAAACCACTATCTAAATATTTATTTTCAGCAAATTGAAAATCTTATGAGAAATATTGTATTTGTATATGTTAGATGACAGTCTAATACTTTTGTCATGAGTCTCAACTTTTAAAAATATGGACGAAATCTAAACGATAGCATAAAAAATAGATATTTATGTAAACCAACCTATTATAACATGTTAAAATACACTGAAGGTGTGATCTTAGATTAATGTTAATTAATTGGATATATATGTTGTGACTTTTTGTTAAGGTTTCATTTCAAAGATGCAATTTTAGAGGGTGAGATACCATTCAACAAGGCCCATGGGGTGCATGCATTTGAATACCATGGAAAAGATAGTAGATTTAATGGAGTATTCAACAAAGCTATGCAAAATGTCACTTGCATTGACATGAAGAGAATTCTCGAGTGTTACAATGGATTCCAAGGAGTAAAAGAGATAATAGATGTGGGAGGTGGACTTGGAATATTATCATTAGCTTCTATAATATTCAAGTATCCTAATATCAAGGGTATTAATTTTGACCTACCTCATGTCATCAAAGATGCCCCTACTTATAAAGGTAACTATCAAAACCATATATATTATACACTTTTTTTTTCTTTAGTACCAAGTATATTGATTGAATAGTGATCATATATATTGTTGTGTTAGGTAATAATATAGCAATTACAACTCAAGAAGTTATATTAATTAAGTACTTTGTTGTGTATACCGGAGAAAATCTACTAACAAACTTTGACAAATCGCTAATTTGCTCATTTTGGATTAGGCTTGTCGATAGAAATGAGGCCTACTTTCACACCAAATATCACCAAAAATTGAACTTTAAACAAAAGTCGGTTTCAAGCATTTATTTATCTACTTGAATTGGATATATTGAATACCAAGTAAGATTTAGAATCCTATTAAATCACATTATATCACCAATTATTTTTGTATCACTTTTTAAAATTTTTAGAGATAATAAGCGATTTCATCAAGGGAATTCTAAGGTAATTAAGTTATTTATCTTAATATGTTATTATTAATCAAGAACTTTTTATATAGCTAATACGATCCTCGTAAATTTTAAATACTAATTTGTTAAGAATTAATGACGATATGGCCTCATCTAGTACTAATATTTGTAATATAAAATATAATGATATGCATTAATTGATATTGAAAGATTAAATTAAGCTCTAACCACTCTTGTTTGCTATATTAGACATAGAGCACGTTGGAGGAGACATGTTTAAGAGTGTTCCTCAAGGGGAGCTAATCCTTCTCAAGGTCAGTATATATATATATATATAAATATATAATACTTTTTATTTTCTATCTATGTGTCACTCGATCTCTTTTTATTAATATAAATATAAAAGAATGATATATTTTATTTAATGGACGTTTCTATTAGCTATTGAATCCTCTTAGCTTCTTGTCTGTTTATTTTTTTTGTATTTTGAGCCCCTGGCTCCACCACTATCTGCAAGTACGTTTAGCAATCTCTGACTTTGTAATAATAAATGTAGGCAATACTTCTTGATTGGGATGATGAATATTGCTTGAAAATATTAAAGAATTGTTGGAGAGCATTGCCAAAAGATGGTAAAGTTGTTGTAATTGAACAAATGCAATCAGAATATCCAGAGACTAATCTTATTTCTAAGAATTCATTTAGTGTTGATATGTTAATGATGACTATGCTTGATGGAGGCAAAGAAACAACTAAGCAACAATTTGAAGATTTGGCTAAACAAGCTGGATTTACTGTTTTGAAAATTGTGGCTCGAGCATATTATTGTTGGGTTATTGAATTGTACAAGTAGTATATGAAAAACTCTGTGTTAATTTGACTGGTGTCACATAAATTGTGACAGAAGGAAGGTTAAATAAGTTTATGTATTAACTGTCTATTTCCAATTATGTAATAAATTTTCCATGAAGGTCCTAAACATTATAAAAGGACTTCAATTATGTTTATTTTGGAAGTGTTTTTTTTTTCCTTCGATAACTATAGTGCAATAAAACTATAGTTATATGACCATCTACGAAATTTACGTACCCATCGAGGAATAAGTGATAATATCCTCATAGCCTAGAAACCAAGTTCACGAGACGTAGATTGATATATTTAACAACAAAATGAAAAAGGAAAGTTAAAGCAAATGCATTCTCACAATCACAGAAATCAACATACCATAACTGTTCCCAGAAAGGTTTGCCTGGCTAGCTAACAAAGAAAAGGTTTTTTTTTCGTTCTTCTAACGTCTCGCTGATTTCAATTCTTGTTATGAGATCACAATTCAAGTTGACTGTTTGGTGTAGAAGCGGAGGCCAACAGCAACTCCCAAAATAATCAAAGGAACCAAGAACTGGAGGATCTTGATGATGAACTCTGTTGTTTTGTCCTGGTTGTAATGAGGCTGTTTTGGAGGAGTGTACTTTACACTTGTTGGGATGGTTGAAGAATCGATTTCTCCTACATAATACTCGTCCAACATTGCTCGAGCACTACTGCTGTGTCCGACATCCTCAAAATCATCAGTTGCATCCTTTCCTGCACACAACAACCATCACGAGCCCATGAACCTATCGAATTTGTCTAGCATTTCAGAGATGGCACAATCTGGCAGTCAGCAAAGTTCGACTGAACTTTACACACACACACATTGGTGCATACTTGAGATTACTAAAAATTGAATACAAAAATACAGAGTGGGTAAAATTCAGCTACTTTAATGTGACAATGTATCAGGGTCTCATAAACCAGTGTCTGCTACAAAATTACATAGTTTTTCGTATTTAAGTTGTCTAGCATTTCAGAGATGGCTCATCTGGATTTCAGTGATGTTCGAGTGAACTTGACACACAAACAAATATTGGTGCATATGTATGTAAGATTACAAAAAATTGAATACAAAATACTGTGATGTTCTTCCGCAAGAATAATACGTCCTACTATTTTACCTGTTGCAGACAACAAAACATCATCACCACCTGGGTGATCGTCCAAGAATTTTGTCACATCATACACCTGTTCAAATAAGATGCAACGTATGAAAAAAGCTAAAGACACTTGAAAAGGGAAAAATCGGAGGAAGAATTTGATACATTTGCTTCCAACTATTGAACACATTTGATAAAATTATAACAGCAAAATAAGTACATTGCCAAAAGCAAGTGCTACTAACATCACTTCCAAAACTAAACCAAAAAGGAATGGAGGCGTTGATCCAAGTCGACGACAGGTGATGCTAGCTACTTGATTAGCATACAAGTCTTTTTTAATTAACAGGAATTATAAGATTAGAAACCAACCTTCTAAACTAGCTATCACTGATTTTCTCATATGTGTTATTAGGTGTGAAGGAAAACATTCTTTTGGAGCAAAAAGGTAAGTGGACAATGAAGTAGAGAATGAGGAGTCAAGCATGTAAACAAAATTTGGAAATCATACTTTAGACACACCCTACAACATATGTTGTTTTCACTCTCCAAAAATGTGCATATCGGATCCTCCAAAAAGTAATGCATTTTTAGAAGGATTTGACACGGGTGCTACAACATTTTTGGAGAGTTGAAGCAACATAGCCGCTAAACTTAGGACTCACAAAATTTAAAAGATGCAATTTCTTTCATCCACAAATATTCAATCAACAAAGCAAGAAGATAATACCATACAAGAGGAGATCAGCCACACCCTATCCCATTCACCCCTCTTTCCCAAAACCAATTAAAGTGCAGGGGAGAAGTAGGAGAGTAGAGATAAAAATAAACAAACATGAGTTATTGGTACATTCGTGGGACTGCTCCATCTTTATCTAAAGGTTTCGAGTTTGAATCATCCCAAATGGGCCTAGCAGTGGGTGATCCAAGATTTAGTCTAAAATACAATGTGGGACACCAAATACCGAATGGAAAACCAAAAAAGAAATAAAATAATAATAAAAATACAACACATAAGTACTCCAATAAAGATTGAATCTTTTTTACAAAGTAGAGATAAAGATTGGATCTTTTCACAGATCTCACAATAAAAACCACAAATTGTAGCTACCCACTTAATATAACATCAAAAGAAGAAAGCTTTAATTAGCACAAATGAGATAGAAAATTTTATACCTTGCCACTAATAATGAGCCAACAATCCTTGGCATTGTTGTGCTGGGAGACCTCAGCTAAATTGAAGACTTTACCCATTTATAGACAAATTCTATTTTGTTAGAAAACAGAAAGACTAATCAGATATTGATTTTGGCTCTTCAAGACCCTATATGGAAAGGCTTGAAGAGGGAGTGTGTTGATTGTTGTTTGTAAATTGTACAGGTGTGTGGAATGGCAGGAAGGGGTTGTTGAGTTAATAAATAAAGAGGAAAAAACCCATAAAGGGGGTTTGGTGAGATCTTGATGATGGAGGATATAGTTGGACCATCACTTGTCAAACCAAACAAGATGGGAAGTTAGGTAGATACAATACTTGTGTTTATTTTTACAAGGCGGAGAATCGAACATTCAAATAATTAGATAAGTACGGAAAATAACTCTAATTTTTGTGTGAATTAATAATTTCTTCTTCAAATTATTGATGCCTTAAAACTACTTATTTACTTGATTAATTGAATTTAAATACACCCTCAATTTTGCAATATGAGTCAAATACACCCTTCAATTCTATTAAGAATCAGATGCTCCTACAAGAGTTTGAGACCATTTGTTATGTCACGTGGCAGATGGAAGTGTATCTAAGTTTAATTAGTCAAGCAGACATTAAGACTGTCAATAATTTTAGGATGGAACTAATAATTTATGCTAAGTTCAAAGATATTTTCAATGTTTCTTCTATTAAGTATTCAATCGGTTGAACTATTGTAATCCATCATATAATTAACTAGTATGTGAACTGACTTTATAACTAGCATCATAGTCTAAAAGGTTTTCACTGAAGAGGAGAAAATATAAAAAGAAAGACCTACAATCAAATCAATGAGTGCTCAACAGACTTGGAAAATTTTGGTCTGGTTGTTGAGTGAGGTGCTATTTGAAGCACATAAGTTCACCTAATTGTTAACTTATTTTATTCACTTTCCACTTTTTATAGACATATTATTTTCTACAGCAATATGTTTATAACTGTATATTCACTTGTAAATTAATTATTCTTTTATAATTGTCATATGTGTATTTTTCATAATAATTGTATGCATATGTATGTTTGATTGTATATATACAATGTGAAATTACATAAATAAATTTCTACTAATTTTCACAAAGAGTCGCAGCACAAAGCAAGAAAATAGGAAAAGTTAAATATTTGTGAATTTTAAATATTTCTTCTTTTTTTTCAGCTAGGAAAAGTTAGCACAACGATACGTAAAAATAACACTATTAATTTTGTTGATCTTGATTGGAGAAGCAGACACAGTGAGTATATTGATTTTCGAAAGTTTTGTGTTCAACCTAACCATTAAAAATTGTTTGAAGTAGTATTAGAATATTGACGAGCGAGATTTGTCTATGTATCTTAGATTAATGTGAATCACACTAGACACATATATCTGGTGTGATTCGCATATATCTAGGATACCAGATACGCAGGCAATATATGAGAGTGGCGAGCGAGATGGGATGGAGGCAAGGGAGAAAAATGAGTTTTGTCTATGTATTGAATCCACTTGGATATCGTGTATCTAGAACAAATCACGCCTAATTTTTACTCATGGATTCCGAAATGCATGTATCTAAACTCACAAAATCTTATTAAATTCGTAATATTACAAATTAATTTATATTTAATTAGCTCATAAATTAGTGAAATTTTTATAAGTTATCCCCTTAATTGACAAAATGGCACAATCCTTTTAATTGCGCAAAATAATCCTATTCGCTCGTGTAAATCTCTCCCCTGCATACCCCAGGCCCAAGTACTATGGGCCGTAAGGAACCACCAATCTTGTACTATTGTGTGCTTCTAGGCTTCCGGCCCATTCCAAATGGCTGCACCACCCACCACCAACTACCAACAACCACCCCACCACCGCCATCACCTCTGCCACCGCCTCCCACATAAATCCACCACCCCACCCACCCAAAAAACCTAATTTTTCCAATACCCAAAACTTGAAAAGCACAATATCTACTCAATTCCTCAATATCCATGGCTACTCCTTCATCTCCCCCACCCCTCCTCCTCCCACCTCCTGAATCAAATCAACCCCAAATCTCCCCAAACCCCCTAATCCCATCACCCCAGAAAAAAACTCAACCTATACCATGGACCCATCAAGAAACTTTCAATTTAATCCAAGCTTATCAGGAAAAATGGTACTCTCTCAAAAAGGGTCAGCTCAAAGCTAGCCAATGGGAAGAAGTCGCCATTACAGTCGCAGCTCGTTGCGGCTTCGATGAGCCGTCGAAATCCGCTACCCAATGTCGTCACAAGATCGAGAAGCTCCGGAAACGTTATCGGGCCGAGAGACTCAAACCCTACCCGAATTCCTGGCAGTATTTTGATCTAATGGACCGTATGGAACGTGGGCCTTTACCGATTGCTGCTCATCCTGTTGCAATGGTGAAATGCCAGAATTCGAATTCTACGTCTGATCAGAGGTATTATGATACTGATAGTGATGAGGTTGATGTTAGTTTTATGGATTTGAGGAAAAATAAGTGTAAAAGTATTAATCATATTGTTCGTGGTGAAATGGGTATGATGGGTGTTAATGTTGTTGCTGATAATAGAAATATGAATAGGATGGTGAAAGATCGAAACTTTGACCCTATGAGAGGGATGAGGAATACAATGAATGAGAAAAGAAAAGGGTATTTCGAGAATGTAGGTATTAATAACGATGATGATGATAATGTTGAGGAAGAGGTGGATGAAGAGGAAGACGACGAGGATGGAGAAGGAAGCGTTGGAGGGAGTGAATTAGCTGCAGAGATAAGGGGATTTGCCGAGAGGTTTATGAGAATGGAGAGTAAAAAGATTGAGATGATGAAGGAGACAGAGAGGTTTAGGATGGAAATGGAGAAAAGGAGAATGGAAATGATTCTTGAAACACAGAGGAATCTAATTGATACTATCAATAGTGTCGTTGGATCGCATAAGAAAGTGAAGGTTGCTCATGAATTTTGAACTCGTTTGCAACATTTCTTGGTATGGAAAGAAGTGGTTGATGCTAAAAAGAAATCGAGGTTTCATCAAGTTTACGCCTATTTAAAATTTGTTTCCAAGAAAATGGCTTCGATTTTCAAGTGTTAAGCATAGTGGGATGTTCTTATTTATGGGGCATTTTCATTCTTCTAACATTTGTTTCTTAATTATTGTTAGGAATAATTAGCATTTCTGTCACTTGTCTTAGTAGAAATGTAAATTTATTCTGTGCTGGATTTGAGCTAACCAAACAAATTCAGAGTACTCTTGGTTGGTTGTTCAACATCAACAATGCAATAAGATAGATCCTTTTTTCAGTTGTTAACTTATGGCTGCTTTCTTCCTTCTTATGTTCTAATGATTCATGCTTTTCAATTGGCATCTGCTGTGAAAACTATATACTTGTTTGTATGATCCCACAACCAATGATCAAGCTGTAAGTGAAATGTATTTTGTATATATTTTGTAAAAGTTTGGTTCTTGGTACCCTGTTTTCATAAATGATGTGATTTTGCTTTCCTTGAGCCGAGGGTCTATCGGAAACAGCCTCTGGGTATGTTGTTGTTGGTTCTTGGTACCCTATATCAATATGATTTACAATCCAGATGCCATAACTTTACAGGAAGGGATTTGATAGTATAGTAGAACTGTTGCAGGTTATGAGAATTTGCTTGTTCCTACATTCATTGTTGTTCTTACTGTCAAATCTGCAGGCACTCATTTTCATTTCCTTGATATGGTATAGGTGGTTTCTTTATCTTCTGTTTTGCGTGCAGCTTTCTTGGGAGGATAGTAGTACCTCTTCTTTAACATCTTTGGGTGACGCTTAGATTATGTTCAAAGTTTAAAGACTACGTGAAAAACGAAGAATCGTGCGACCTTGTCAAAGTTGAGCAGAATGAAGCATACACCAGATTTTAATGAGTTGAAATGTCATAAATTGGGATTTCACACCATATCCCAATATGTGAAAAAGGCTAGACACCACCAATTTGCATTAGCGCACCCTCAGGAGAAAAAAAAACTGTATATAAAGGCATTGCTTTTATACAGAAGTCTTCAAATGTTGGCCATATTATTTTCCAACGTAGATTTTACATAAAATGGGTTCCAGGGCTAAGAGCTGCTTTATAAGTTTACAAAATCATATGAAGTTATATATATTTAAAAAGGCTTGTCTGATGCATTTAGATTCTTCTATTACAAGATTTAGGATCATGAAAAATACAAGTGATCTTAAAGGACATCTATATTAGTTGTTTGAACTTTAAAGGTCTCAGATTTACTATTAGCAGGAATGACATTTTTTTGGCTCTGGCTCTGTCATACTTGAGTCACAACAAGCGATTCCAAGTAGACCATCTTCGTAACTATTAAAAAGAACATCTCAAAATAGACCAAGATACAATTTCAAGTACTTTTGAGTGTATTCTTCCAAAGGAGCTGTATGTATGCATGATCAGATCTCATTTCAGGATTTTCATAACGCCAATAACAACAATTTACAAGAATTGCACAAGTTTGAGGGCAAGGAGGGCAGTCATGTATGATGACTGTATTGACAAATATTGAGTATACACATGCCTCTAATATTTACAAGACTTTCCACAGCCTTTGGCCATAAAAATGATAACTACCCCATTGAATATAAAAAAAAAGGGCTATAATACATGGGATGACTACGGGGACAAAATCAAATAGGCCCTCCCTTAGTGAGCAGGTGAAAAGGGGGTTCAAGAAAAATGAGAGGTAATTGAAGGGGGCTAAGAGAAGAGAGAGACCTTGTACACCTACCTCTACATCTGTTCCTACCTTACTGAGGCTCTAGGGCAACAAATACTATACAAAACACAAAATTTGAGCTGATCATCCTCATACGCTCCCAAAATCTTGAAGTTCACCTTCTCATCCCAATGTGATTCCCTCAGGCACAACGAGCTTTGTCTGAAAAACAAAATGAGCAAGTATCAACTTATGCCACTATTATGACATGCTGAAAATATAACTAATCAAGAGCCTAAATTATCTCAACCAAGAATATTAAATCAAAATCTTGTAGAAGTATGTCACTAATTTAAACTTGTCTTACTGGGATCTAATAGCAGGTGTATTATAGCAGTTGACGTTAATTTTATTTCTTTTTACCTGTACGCTGTTGTTTCAAAGGCATGCTGAAGGAATGACAAGCTGCGAAGGAGTAACCCTTGATGTTTTGTGTGTACCTCAATCCAGTCTAGATTCACTGGGTCTAGCTAACAAACCTCTATTCCCTGCTTGCAGAACCTGAGCCTGATCTGGATGTTGCAACAGCGGCCGCTGCTGTTGTTGCTGGTGTGACTGGGGCTGGGTCACTAGCAAGGGAGGATGCAACTCCGAAGACTTTTGCTTCCATTGAACACTAGCATCACGCCCAATAGGAGACAACTTACCAGAAGATTGCATTTGGCTTACTCCTTGGTTGACTTCTGGCCCTGTCTCGCTGGCAGCAGAATTTATTGGTGGGGTTCCAATTGAATCTAATGACGGAACTGCAACCTTCATTTGAGTAGCACCGGCGGCAGATACCTCTGTGGCATTAGTTAAATTGTTGGAGCCCTGCAGAGACGTGTTACCTATCTGTGAAGTGTTGCAAATATTGCGCTGTTCACTTTGAGGTTCACCAGCTTGCAACTTGTTTGGCGGTTCAGAATTCAGTGAACGTTTCCGTTGCAGAACCCCTTGAAGAGCTGCTTGACTTTGAGGAGTCAACTTTGGCCGCAATTGCACCTGTTGCTGTGGATGCATCAACATTCGGTGGTTGGAAGAACCTACAACTGAGGTTGGAACAGATTGATGGGGCAAATTAGGACCCAATACACTCGATGAGGCAAGACCTTGATTGGTACTGTCAGAATTAGGGGGAATTTGCTGCTTTTTGGATAGAGGCACTTGGCCAGAATTTATCTTAGAATGGGGATGCTGCGGCTGACTCACCTTTTGCTTTGCAGGCTGGGCCAGGATTCCCTGACCTTGCAACAACTGTGTGGCTTGCTCACCTTTCTCTGCAGATTTATTCACTTGATCTGTAGGAAGGCCTTCTGATAAAGAGGGATCAATCTGCATGTTCTGTTGTATCATCGATTTCCCTCTCCCCACGCCCTTCAAAATTTTAGCTTGTTTTTGAGATTCTGACTGCTGGCGCTGTGGAGGATGGAGTCTGCTAGCATTTTGAAGATGCTGCTGCCCTATCTGATGTGGCCTTGGCTTGCTCATTTGAGTAATTAAACTACTACCCCCAGTTTGTGCACTTCGGCCAAGCCCATGGGCCGGAAATGGATGTTTCAGTTGATGCTGTGGCATTGGAGACATTGAGGAAGGGGATGTCAAAGGAGAAAGTGACACTGGTGGAGAAGAAGTCTGTGAAGTGATCTGAGGACTATTCTGCAATGAGGATGGTATAGGAAGATGGGGCTGCGTATGTGAGAGTTGTTGATGTTGCTGTTGTAAAAGCCGCTGCTGCAGGTGCCTCTCTCTAGCTAAACGAATCGCATAAGCTTGATGCTGTGGGCTGGTGGCATGACTGGCCCCTTGAAGATGAGGATGCCGAGGGCTATGCACAAGAGGCTGCTGTGAAGATAAAAGATGTGGTTGCTGATGATGAAGTGGGTGTGAAGAAACAGGTGAGGAGGCAGTCTGGTTAGGGAAAGAGGAACTTGACCCACCAAAAGGAGGGACGCCTTGACTGCTTCCTTGAGAGACCTTTATCTGAAGCTCAGGAAGAATCATTTGCTTCTGAGCTTCCTGATTCGGTGAGGGCTGCAAGAGCAGGATACATATACTGTCATTGAACTCAAAATACTGAGGAGGTGAGAGTTGAAGTATACAAGCAAGGAATGCATCACACTGCAGTTCCGAAAGTCAGATATATGAACTACACCATAAAAAGAGCCAAAATGCAGAAAATTCATGTAAGCAACAATATGAAAATCATAGAAGAGCAAAGTACGTCAGTGGACACTAAAACTACAAGTCTTCAGTATATAAAGGCGGATCTGCTCCCCAATGGATGTCATGAAATCTTAAATTCTCAATGAAAATCATCCAAAGCCGACTGTTTTCACCTTCTCCATACACTGATGTGGCAACAGTTGTGTTTTTTAACGCACAGCCTACCCCTCCTTTGTTCTTCCCAAGGATACCCCCAAGAAGAACACTTTTTTGATGGGCATTAGTTTGTCATTAGTAAATGAACCTGATCAACAACCAATTCATATTGGAAGACATTCTTTTCACATTGAAATGTTCAGGCTGGTCTACTTGAACTTCTTAGATTCACATGTTCTTCAACATGAGATGCAATTGACCCAGCTATCCTGATTCAAGAGTGCATTGACCAGCTGAAACCATGAGTCACACGGAACACTGGTATACTTGCTAGTTAAATAAGCAGCTCAAAGAGCACACTGAATGCACAGAAGTATTGCCTTTTAAATTATACAAAATATCTACCAACGTAACAAATCCTGTCAAAGAAACTCATTTCAGAACTTATTCAGGGAGATGCCTAAAGTCAGGGTTCACTTGTTAAGAAAGTAAAGTGAAACTAAACGTTAGCTAGTGAAATTCCTTGCAGAAAGGAGACCGTGTCTTCACCTACCATTTCATGATGAAGTTTTACAAGCTCGAAGTTGTCATATATGAATGAGTTAATAACTGCACTAACTAGAAGCAGAAAAATAAAAACCACTATTGTTTACTAATGGTCCAACAACACAGATGTTAACCACAAGAAAAGAGCAATTTGTATCCAGAAGACAGAAGTAACTTACCCGTATCATGTGCAAAACATCACGAGGTCTCAACATTGAATTCCCCTGATTTGAGTTCACTCCAGATTGCATATTTACAGTGCTTGGCATTGTTGTCGTACCAGAAGAAAGCATAGATGATGATGCTATTCCCTGAAACCCAGGTCTTGCCATTGCCATACCTCTATTAAGCCCAGACAATGCTCCCATGCTGTTGCCACTGGGATGTGTACGAGCACCACCACTGTCACTGGCTGCAAGGGATCCAGGAGCAGATTTATTGGACTGCATATTTCCACTTGATAACATTTGATTATATTGCTGGGATCTCTGCTGCTCATCAACTGGAAAAGATACAGCTCTCGGAACAGCATATCTACCACCCCGGAAGCATGATTACCCATATCAGCACTTGATGAGGAAATCCCAGGAGCCATTACATAGTTTTAAGCTTAAGCATTCATTACCTGACAGATGCATTTAGTGGACTTGTTGATGAAGGAAAAGTGCTTCCGAGAATCATATTGGTGGATGCTTGCACTCCAGAATTTGCACCAGATGCAGGAAGCACTGATCCTCCACCCTGACTCGAGATAGATAATCCACCTGAGTATGAACCTTCCAATCCAGCAGGAAGAAAGTCTGGACTAGATGGAGCCCGTGGAGGTTCCTCGCACAGATCCAGAGGCCTTCAGTGGACCAGAAGGAAGACAAAACATAAAGAGTTAAAATCAAAGCTACGGCTGGGCCTATTGGGAAAAGGTCAACCTCAGACATGTACTCGAGATAAACTTACGTAAGAAAAGATCCTCCATTCAGATTACTCGGACAAAGTTGGGAAAGCGCATGCATATGAGAATCGTGTGGTTGCTGAATTTGTTTTAGATCATAGTTTTCACCCTACATCAAAAAAAAACTAAACATTATAGCCACTTGAAACACAAGTATATAAAGCAAACATAAAGAGAACAAGAGGTTTACTGATCGTCCATACACTAAAGATATTTGAAAAAAATGAATCCAGCATTCTATTCTCCTCAAATGGTAAATATTTATCTTGTGTAACTATACCCAATTCCCCATAACAAAACAGGATAAGCGAAACTGGTAGAGAATAATCCACAATCTTAATTCTCAAAAAAAAAAAATCCACAATCATAATATGTCGATTTCTTCGCAACAATTTTGATATTTTCTTAATAAGTTTGAAAACTAAACATGACATATCTACCAAGGTTCGAAACCCAGCGAAGCGACACTAGTTGAAGTCTTCCCATCTACTTAAGCCTCAGCACACACACTTATCCCGTGCCTATGCATGTGAGTAGTAGCAAGTAGCTGATGGGTACACAGTTACACACAAATTGGCTCAGACACCATCATTATTGGAAAAATTCACGTCTTTGTCAGAATGTAAAATTTTCCAGCACTTGACAGATTGATTAACCAAAACCCCAGCAGCCCAGGGGTACAAACAAAGGGAAGAAAAAATAGATATTTCACATTTCTAAAAACTTAGGTCTGTGTATCCATTCCACGTGATAAGGCAGAATTACTCATCTCTTAAACTGATCAGGTAAAATGTTTAATCAATTGAAGTGACTCTGCACTATGATTACTATTACCAAATGATTTAATCCACTGACTCCCTCAGTATGTGTATCAACAGTTCTTTAAGGTTCAAAATAATAAACTTAGGCAGTCATACCAAATATTATATGAAGAGCAGACAAAGTGATTGATATCTGTTTTCTGCTTATCAGTTCTCTTTTTAATTCAAATATTCAGTTGCCAAAACAAATGTTTCTGTTTGATTCGGATCAGATAGTTCTTTGGGTGAGCAACCAAACCCGAAAAATCCAACATTCAACTCAACAACTTATAAACATATATCAAACCCAGATGAGGAGTAACTTCTACAGCAAAGTGAGACTACACATGCACTGATCCGTAGACAAATATCATGATGATTAGATAACTATAGAAGTTTCTCCAATTATGATTTATTTTAAGTATAGCCATATCTGGACTATTTTGTAGGATAGATTTCACTTGGACATAAAGATGACCAAATCAGTTTAAGACATTTTGTATGTAAAGTGATTTCCTTTACGCACTTCTATACAAAATGTCAAACTGGAAAGCATCACATCATGACTTAATTTCAATCATCGTAGTCAAAGGTTTTAAAAACCCGTGACAGCATCTAGAATAACAGTATGGGAAGTAACTGTTCGGACAACTTTCTGAGAGTCTTTTAGAAGAAATGTTGAGACAAATAAATGTCCAAAAATAGCTGTAGTTTATTTTCTGAAGATTTGAAAGTACTTTATGAGTAGAAGAAGAATTCTTCTTTAGGGAAAATCCGCAAAAATAACTTCTTCGATTTCAAAAAACTATTTGCAAAAGAGTTCTTACAAAAACTGAAACAAACTCGTTTCCGGAGAACCTGCTTGAAAGATTTTTTTTTATTTTTTTTTAAAAAAGGAACTCTACAGACAAGGGCCACCTTTGACTCCAGAGTTTGTAATTAAAAGTTCTAAAACTTGTGACACATCTAGATTATTCTTATTTTGTGAATATGCCAAAGTTCCAAAGATATTTGGTGCTTCTTTTTCTGTAGCACAACATCAATTCATCGAAGTCTGCACCCAAGGCAGGAGTTTACATGCTATATGAAAGACACCATGCCTTCTCCTTGATTTTTTTTTGAAAATGGTAACGATGTATTATATCACAAAAGTACATGGGTTGTACTCAAACCTTATATACAGATGCACTCTAGACACTCCTACTCTATTTCTATATTGAGTCTAAAACGTCAACTATAGAGACAGTGTCATTTGAGTATAATTGATTACACCAAAAACATAACAACAAAATGCAGTTTAGTTTAACATCCTGCACACTATTTTCTATGCCTTCAAAACATCTGGAATTCCTTTCTTTCCAGATTGCCCACCATATTGAAGCAGGGATAATTCTCCATCTAGTTCTGTCTTTTGCAAGGGCACCTGCCTCCTCCCAGCTGTACAAGGCCTCAGTAACTCTCCTAGGCATAGTCCAGGATATGCCTTTAAGGCTCAAGAAAATCCTCCAAAGCTGCCGGGTGTATTTGCAGTGTAGAAATAGATGGTTTATAGTTTCTAAGGTTTCCCCACATAAGAAACACCTAGAGCATAAGGTTATCCCCCTTTTCATTACATTATCCTGAGTCAGGGCAGCTTCCTTAGCTAGCAGCCAAATAAAGCATGAGACTTTGTGTGGGATTCTACACTTCCATACTTGTTTCCAAGGCCAGATGGGACTCTGCTGGCTTGATTCATCCATCAGCCTGTAAGCTGAATGCACTTTGAACTCTCCTCTATTGTTGCCTTTCCACCAAAGCATATCCTCATATGCCTGAACTAAAGTCCAGTAAAGTGACCAACCAAGTTGAGGAATTCTGCCAACCTCATCACTTCCCAGTCATTTGGTTCTCTCCTGAAGATGAAATTCCACCCTTGTGGTGTCCATAGTTCTGCAATAGTTCTTTGTTGGAACATTGCCAGATTGTAAATATCAGGGAAAAGAGTTTCCAGGTTACCTTTCTCATGCCATTCATCCTTCCAGAATTTGATTTTGTTCCCATTCCCCACTTTCATCTTGAATTTGGGTTTAACTTCCTCCCATAATGCTCTTATGGATCTCCATAAACTGATCCCATAACGTGTGGTCGCAATCTTAGTCATCCAACTATCTTGATTCTCATATTTGGCACCTATCACTCTTCTCCAAAGTGTTTGGTTTTCATTTGAGTATTTGCACAACCACTTCATTAAGAGTGCTTTGCCATGTAGCTCCATATTCTTTATTCCCAGACCACCATTCTTCTTTCCAGTTGTCACTGCATTCCATTTTACTAGATGAAAACCTCTATTCTCTTTGTTTCCTTGCCACAAGAACTTCCTTCTTATGCTGTCTAGTCTTTTAGTGATCCCTGGTGGGATGGGAAATAGAGACAGCATGTAAGTTGGGAGAGCATCTAGGACTGAGTTTATGAGGGTCAGTCTACCCCCTCTTGACAAGTACTGAGTTTTCCATCTGGCCAGCTTCTTCTCACACTTCTCTATCACACCATTCCAAATTTCTAAGGACTTGGATTTTGCTCCCAATGGCATACCCAAATATGTTGTAGGTAGAGTACCTACTTCACCCCCTAGAATTGAAGCTAACAATTCTATGTTGTTGACCTCATTGATAGTATACATAGAACTTTTAATCCAGTTAATGTGCAACCCGGATACCCCTTCAAACAGCACCAGGATCACCCTTAAGTATTTCAGTTGGTCTTCCTCAGCTCCACAAAAAATCAATGTATCATCTGCATACTGAAGATGTGTCACCTCCAAGCTTTCTGTATTTTCTCTAGCCACATCAAAACCTTTTATCCATCCTCTCATATTTGCTGTCTTGAGCATATTATTCAGCCCCTCCATAGTAATTAAGAACAAGAAAGGGGACAATGGATCACCCTGCCTGAGTCCTCTTTGAGTTTGAAAAAACCCTGCAGGGGACCCATTAATCAGAACAGAGAAGCTAACTGTAGAAATGCAAAAGCTAATCCAGTTCAACCATTTTTGTCCAAATCCCATCATCTCTAAAATCTTCAGAAGGTACTTCCAATTCACATGATCATATGCTTTTTCTATGTCCAGCTTGCATAGAATGCCAGGTTTCTTCTGCTTATTCCTGGAATCTACAGCTTCATTAGCAATCAACACTGCATCCATAATTTGTCTCCCTTTTATAAAAGCCATTTGCTGTGAGTCCACCAGTTTGTCTATCACAACTTTCAACCTTTCTGTGAGAACTTTGGAGAGTATTTTGTAAATGCTCCCTATGAGGCTAATTGGTCTGTAGTCCCTTAACTCATTGGCTCCTTTTTTCTTTGGAATGAGTGCAATGAAGGTAGCGTTGAAACTCTTCTCGAAGACTTCTTGCTCATAAAAGTTTTGAAATGTGTCCATGATGTCTTTCTTCAGTACATCCCAACACTTGATGAAGAAACCCATTGTGTACCCATCTGGACCAGGAGCCTTATCGGCTGCACATAGCTTTAGGCAATTTAGAACTTCATTCTCCTCGAATCTGCCTTGCAGGGACATTTTTTCCTCTTCAGTCAACATTGGGCATTCAACATTATTATAAGAAAGTCTCCATTGATGTGTTTCTCTATACAGGTTCTTATAATATGCTATTATCTCCCCTTCAATTCTGCTTTTCTCTTGAGTAACCTCTCCTTGTATCATGAGTTGATCTATATTGTTATATCTCCTGTGAGCATTTGCCATTTTGTGGAAGAATTTGGTGTTCTTGTCTCCCTCCTTCAACCATAGTACTCTTGATTTCTGTCTCCATGAAACTTCCTCTTTCTTGACTAGCTCTTCATACTCAAGTAAGATTGCAGCCTTTTTTGTCGTTTCCTCCACAGTGAGAGTTCTATTTACCCTTTCTGTATCTAATTCTGCTAACTGCTCTAACAATCTCCTTCTTTGACTGCCCAGATTTCCACCCTCTTCTTGTTTCCATTCCTTTAGCTTAAGTTTCAGTGCTTTAAGTTTGCATGCCAAAACATAATCAGGTCTTCCTGTGTAACTGAAGGAGCTCCACCACTCTCTAACTCTATCCACAAAACCTTCTGACTGCAGCCACCAATTTTCAAACTTGAAGTAGCTTTTATTCCTCTCCCATTGAAGAGGAATCTGTTTCAAATTGTTGAAGGTATCATCCCATTCTTTAGAAATCATGATTCTATCAATTCTGGAGGCTGCCTCCTGTTGATCTCCCTTAAACCATGTGTATGCAGCATCTTCTAATTGCATGTCAACTAATTCCATGTCCTCTATGAAATCAGAAAACTCTCTCATTCCCTTAGTTCTTCTGTTGCAGTTCTTCTTCTCAGATATGTACCTAGATACATTGAAGTCCCCACACATTGCCCAGGGTCCCTCCATCAACCCCCTTACTGAGCTCAATTCTTCCCATACAAGTCTCCTTTCCTTGTAACAATTAGGAGCATACACTCCAGATATATGGCAGCTAAAATTCTGGGTTTGTGATTCAAATTTACAAGTAATGGTGTAAGAACCAATGCCTTCTCCTTGATTGATGAGCAGACTTTTAGTAAAACAATTGAAAGCGTATAAAATAACAAGTTTTCAAGGATAAATATCCCAAGTACCTTCAGAATGGATATACAATTGTAGGTCAATTTGCATGTTATGAATCTTAGGTCACTTCGCATGTTATAAAATCCTATGCAAGTTCTCAAGACCAAAGTCAATTGTGCTAACACCTCATTTTTTTTAGTTTCCAAAAGAGATTAAACAGTTCAACCTTCATAACAAAAATAAAACTAGGAGCTCAACTAACTAGACTTCTGAAAGGACAGCAGATCATATTGTACATATTTTGGACATTAAAGGACCAAGACTATGGCAGAGAATTGACTAAAATATATCATATCACCTTTTGTAACCCTATGATGCCGAGCAATGGTTGCTAAAAAAGCGAAACTGGCAGACTAGGAGTGTTAACATACCCAACACGACCAAGCAAGAAAAAATTTATGCATAAATGTTAGTGAAGAGCATACCTGAGTCTTCCGTAAAAGATATTTTTTTCCAATCAAGATGATCTTCTCAAAATGAGATTTGAGTGTGTCCTCTTCCATTGGTCCCTGCAAACGCTGAAACAGCTGTCTGGCACTTCCCTGCAGATGTTGATTAAATTATACTGATTTACGTGATAAAAAACTTGAGCCCAAAGAAACAATGGAAGCTAACGAAAGTTGAACCTTCGGAATGCCTGGTAATGTTGAAGGATATGGTTGAGAAGATCCTGAATCTTCAGCACTATCAGCGCCATCACCAGTAGTTCTGTCCATAAGTACTTTATGGCGTTCCTTGCATTCATTCGGCTTGCGATATATACACTGCATGTATTGAACATGAATGGTTAAAAGCAGTCAAAAGCTAAGTTGCACGGACTCTTCACTTTCGATGCCGCACCCGTGTCGGATTCTCCAAAAATACACTACTTTTGGAGAATCCGACATGCACCCATTGACTTTTTTGAAGAGTCCGAGCAACATAGGTCAAAAGGGCAATAAAAAGCTACTATAAAAAGAAAGATTAACACAATACAGAGCATTAAACTGGGATAAAAGCGAATTTTGTGAGAGGTCTAGCTAAAAGATGGAATGGAAACGCATAACTACCCCTCACCTTGAATTGCAAGGTACTGTTGATGGCATCACTTACAAGCTCCCAGTTTGGACCCATGTCATGCACGAGGACAACAAGTGCCTAATTTGAAGTCAATTTCATTTAAACGCATGCTAGCCAAAAGAACTATGGTGGAGAAGATGCAAAAGAAGGTCCATATTGTATGGCATAAGAAACCAACCTGTTCCTCAAATAGTGACCATGGACTTCCTGAACCTGCCTGTCCAGCAGTCATCTGTATGAGATTATAGAAGATCAAATTTTGTTTTTTAGATACGATAAAATTCAATTTTTTTTATAAGCTAAAACATCAAACTAGCATTCATTCAAACAAAAAGGCGAAGTAAACAAAGGAAAGAGATTCTAGCTGAGATAAATTTAAGTACCTTCAAAGTTTTGGCTTTCCTATTCCTGTCCCTTCCACTAAGCATCCTCATGAGTTTATTTGGGTTGGACATGTTACTCATCTGGGAAGCAACTGGAGATGGAATAGATCCACCAATAGGGGCATTATTCTCAAAAGAATTTTCAAATGATTGCCTCAGCATCTTTGGCTTCTTTGCGATATGTTGACCAAATAAACCTTCAAAAAAAAAAAAAAGGCATCCCTTAATATGACAAGAAACACACTCCATCTCGAGCTCTAAAGCCAATGCAAGTTAGAATAAGCTATACCGCTGCTACCGTTTGATTCAAGTTGATGGCTCTCGAATCTCTTTCTGGAATGATCCTTCTGAAACCAAACAATTCATGATGAATTCAACAAGTAAAACATTAAAAGCTATGTTGCACAGATCCTCTAAAAGAATCCGCTATACCTGTGTGGATCCTTTTAAAATGCATTATTTTTGGAGGATTCGATATGGGTGTGGAAGCATGGCAGCATTTATGGAGGATCCAAATAACATGGATTGAATGTTATATCAAATACATATAGACCATCAAGTAAATACACTAAAACGGAATCTGGTTAACTTATGAATAACTTCTGATCAATATGAATGACTAGAAATCATATGGTATGGCCCTCCAACAAGGATTCCATGGTAAAAGAGAGAATAAAACCAATATTCAGAGATATCAATACAACTGGTGTATAAAATATATGTTCCCCAGCCATTTGCAAAGGCCTACGGCTAACCTTGCTTTGTCTGGAGAATCCAGGTATGATTATGCAAGACAATAGCTCATTCTAACTCCTTAAGATAAATGTAAAAAAAAAAAAACTAATCAGGAAAAGATAAAATGTGGCACGAATGTCATTAAACTACAATGATCCTCCCAATACCCTAAAAGAGGAATACGAAGACGCATAGTGATACATCTATACCACGACAGATTAGGGGAAAAAAGGTAGTTAGTTCAAAGTTGCGCAGAAACTTAGGAAAAAGAGAACAAGATTGAAAAAGTGATGACAAAAAGGTTAAGCAATAATTTACAATATTAACAGAAAAAAACTGCAGAAAGGAAGAACAGGATTGGAGCACTACGGCAAAAGAAAGAGACTCAATTACAATCTTATTTTTAGACTGCTATTGGTAGATTATTTCCTAATGGAAGTCTGACTAGCAAATTTAATATCATCACATTTCAGCACATTACTGAGCCACAATGTGGAAAAGGGAAAGAAAATCACCTGGTTGATTTGATAATTTGAGTCAACCTGCCATCGCTGCCCATATGAAGAACCCTGCACCAAAGAGAATGCAAACAAGAGCTCAGTCTTAGAAAGGTGCAGATTGCTATAATTCAAATTCCTTAATTTATCTTCAGAGACATAGCAACATGTCAAGTACCAGAAGCTTTGCTTTTTTCTTCTTTTTAGGTTTTGATACTTCAGCAGAGTCAAATAGTAGGTGTTTTTCATAGTCACCCACGGATTCAACTTCCAAGCTATTCATATGTGATCCACCTTGCAATGTACTCTGATCATCCTGAAATGAACCAGTATCACCACTTGAAGCATCTGTTTTGATTGGCAACTGAACACATCCAGCTGTTGTTGCACCGAAGGGACTAACGACTCTCTGCCTAGAAGCAGTACGCACACGCTTGGTTGGAATAGACACATTAAGAGTGCTAGCTGGCCGTTTCCCCAGCAGAACAGATTGATGACTGCCAACTCTATTTTCCATGCACTGTGTAAATTGTATACCAGCACCAACGTCATATGGTCTGCCACTGTAACCCTTCAGGAGGATCTTCCGTGTCTTCTGGGGAAATCTTGACGATTTGTTACCTTCTAAGGCAACTGAACGATCATATGCACTTGTTTCTCCTTCATCCACTTCATATGCACAATCTTAAGATCCAAAGTATGCATACACAAACAGATTGGTCAAGAGATGCGATCAACTAGAACAAGCAGGAGACAACCACCAAAAATACAAAAACTAAAAATAAAGAAAGACACCTGTAACTGCATCACATGCAGAGGTCTCCACCTCCTCTTGCATACCATTACCTGTCTTCTGGAATTTCAAAGAATACACCAGCATCAACAAGTGTGATAAAACATATAAGCATACAGCTACAGCAAGCATAATCCTTTGAAGGGTACAAGATTGGATCGTAAACACCACCATAACAAGATAAAAACATAAAAGCATAAAGCTAAAGCTAGCATATCCTTTCAATTTTATCTCTTAACAGTTTACAGTTGCTGGAATGGTGATGCTTGTATTGATGAGTATTGTCACACTAACTCATTCATGTAAGATGTTGCAACCCCAGAGTAGCAGTCTCAAAAACAGATATTACAACCAGAATAACAAACGCACGTTCAATGCATGCAGTGGACAAAGCTTACCAAGTTTGGGCCTTGAGAACTAATCACATATTGCCAATGTCCAAGAAGTACATGCAAAATTAAATGTCTAAGATGCTGAAGCTTTTGCAATTCATCAGAATGTCAACTGGAAGAAAGAAAGGCAGAAAACAAACTACCTTTCTCACAATTGATAGCCTAAGTGTAGAAAAACCAACCATCAAAGCTGGCAAGATTAAGCTGATCTTATCTTTTTTTGTTTTCCCTTTGATAATCCTGACCTTTTTTGTTTCTTGATCAGGTAAACAGTTATATTAATCAAAAGGCCAAAAGCGGCCGTATACAAGAAGTATACCAAAAAGTAAACGTCATACAAAATGATATGGTTCTCTACAAAGGACACTCAATCTTCTATACATCCCGGAACTACATGGGTGCACCAAAAATAAATGACGAATCAGAGGCTACTCCTCAACTGCCCAAAACTCATTTCTACCCCTTTGAAAGCCCTCCTATTTCTCTCACTCCAGATGATCCATATCAACGCCAAAGGGACACAGGTCCTTCCAGCTATCCAATAAAACAACAGGTCCTTCACAAATCTAGGCATCACCCAAAAAATACCAAACCAGCTAAATATATCCCACCACAATCTTAAGGCCAGGCTGCAATGTAGTAAAACATGATCTACATCCTCACCCGCCACATTGCATAAGTAACACCAACTGATGCGCACAACCTTTCTTTTCCTAAGGTATTCGGTCGTCAAGATTATCCCTCTAGCAGCTCACCATATAAAAAAAGATGAGGTAGATTCCTTAAGAAATATCAAAAGGATTTAAACCAAGATCTTGACCACAAACCTAAAAGACAATAAAAGTAAACAAGGAGTATTTTTTTTTATTTGCTACATGGAAAACAAGGAATAGTTATTTTCTTGAAACATACCACCAGAGCAAGAGATCGCATTTCCTCCTGTTGATGCTATTAGCCTATTACCAGTACAAGGTACTTCACAATGCATATTTTTCACAAACCGTGGTGTGGTGTAATGCCGACACTAAATTATCAAAAACTAACTTTATCCAAAGCTATTATATTAACTTCCTTCAAATGAGAAGTATACACAGTAAATGCAAGACCACAAAAAGAGCCAACTCAAGAATACAGATCTAACTTGGGTTCCCTTACTCCAAAGACCAATTTTTCCCCAATACATAAACTATCTTATTCAGCAAACCTCATTTCATTAGTCAACTGTTCATTTTAAGAAGTGTGGCACATCAAAAGATCAAAGAAAGCAAGTATATTACATTTCCCCCCTCTGTCCCCCTCTGTCCCCCTCTGTCCACTCATTACTTTAGGTATGGGCATATAGAAAAACTCGTCCTTAATGATGGTTATCAAACAACACTAAAAATGGAGGATGACTCCATCCAATACCAATTATGGTCAACTAGAGTACCCAAGCGACGTTCTTACAACAAAAATGTGTATGAGTTCAGCTGATTTCCCTTCCTGAAAATGCCTTGGATAAAATAAAGTTGGATAACTGATGTGATACGCTCATACATATATATACACAAAGGTTAACCCACTGTTATGGTTGGAAAGTATAAGTTGCTAGTCAACTACTCAGAAGATGTAAAGGTATAGCTGGCAAAATTATTATGGTCTATATGCTTGCCTCACAAAGTTGAACATGAGATTCGATAGATTTTCTGTAAGCATCCACTGCTCCAAGCAGAACAGGATAGAAGAGGTTCTCCTGCATGAAAGATTGTGAAGATCAATTAGAAGGATAAGCTAATAAAACAAAGAGCGATAAGTACAACCCCAAGAAGGAATGGATTGAAGCCTCAGAAAAATGTTCAAAATATTTTCATATCACGTCAAAACAAGAGTTAAAGAGATAAGTAGAGCACAATAAGAGAGGGGAGATTCAAGATTAACATGTAAACACGTTCAAACCTCTGTCAAATGGTCCTCCAGAGATGTGTCCATATTTCCCCAGTCACATATCCTGTCTGGAGTCAATGGAGCCTCAGCTTGATTTTTTGGAACATATGAGTCATTGTACTTCAGAAATCTTATGGCATATTCCCTAATGGCATTAGTGTAATCCTTTTTAGGTTTTGCAAGCTCCATTTTTTGGCTTTTTACCTGCCACAAAATATGAAATCAGCATAACAATGACCAAATGTATCCCCTTCCATCTCTTCAACTGGAAAAACAAAACACAAAGGAACTTCTAGAAGTTCAACATTCACTCTAATTTTGGTTTAGACAAGATGAAAAACTAAGAGTGTAGATGATCAAACCAAAAGCCTATCCCAACTAATATAAATTTCATTGGTCCTTAAATCAGAGTATATCTTCTCCTCTAGCCAAACAACTTTTAATATACAAACCCAAATTTAGTTCTGCCAATTAAAATGAAGGAACTTTATGTAAGATTTACATGGTAAGTAAATCAAAAAGTTTTGTATCCTTGGTCAAATCCTACATAATAGCATACTGAAACCAGATCTCAGCATTTAAAAAGGCAAGGAAATATTCATGTGGATTCTATCATCACACTTTCTATTTTATGGATGTACATGAAAAGCATACATAATTGGGCATGAAGAGATTCCCCTATAGAATGTAACCTAAATCTGCTTAAAGCAACAACAACATACCCAGTGTATCCCACAAGTGAGGTTTAGGGAGGGTAGAGTGTACGACCTCACCCCTACCTTGGAAGGCGGAGGAGTTGTTTCTGATAAACCCTCGGCTCAAGGAAAAAAGAGCCGAGGATTGGCCTAACAGACATAAGCAACTAACCACGAGATAACAAAGACCAGACATATGTTTTCCCCTCCATAGTTAACAATCTTCCTTAGAAACACAGAGACTGGTGGAAAGAAAACAGAATAAATTAGGATTTTGTAGAATTACTCTGTATACCTCAACAGAATGCCAGAAATCCATGACATATTTGGCCACGTTGTGAGCTACCGTTTTTTGCTCCCAACTACAATTTCGTTCTTGGAATCTCAACCGTGAACTAAAAGCAACTTGGTGGCATATTTGACCTGCAGCAGTAATCTTCCAGAGACGTTCCTACAGGAAAAGATATTCTAAATCAGTTAAGTGCTAAATCTAGAAAGACATATTGAAAATACTATTTCAGAATCAAAAGAAACTAAATCATGTTTCAATGATTCAAGACTGTGTGTTTAGATAGATAGCGACAAAAGCAGAAAGGGAAAAAGAGACATTAAAAGGCAAATATCTACTAAACTCACACCTGAGCAAAATCATTTGCCAGCCAAACCATTTCTTCAAGTACATAATACCACTGGGATTTTCGACCATTTTCCAGCGGACAGGTTACAGCAGACAGTTCTGCAATCCTTTTACGCTTCGCCTGTTTGTTACATTACATTAGATCTACAAGGTCAAATAACAAAGCCATAGCAACATTTAAGTAAGCTAAATGTGGATGTGAATTATTTCGAAGGCCAAAAGAACAACCTCTATAATCTGTGCCTCTTTCAAGATTGAGTCTTCATCACCCTGGATCCTAGGTGTTTGTCCCTCAGGAGCCAGGTTTGAAACTCTAGTCTGCGATACACACTCAGAGTGCTCTGGTATACAGGTATCAATCATACCCTGAATTCCAACATTGCAAACATCTTGGGGGTTGGGATCTTCACTTTTAAGCACAAAACATTTTCTTGTGATTTCTAATTCAGATGGGCCTACTTCTTCCATTCTTTCCGTGATAAGTTTATCTTTTATCTCACTTTGCAAATTAGATGCAGTACTAACAAGTTGTTTTGGTGACTTGGCCACACAACCATTACTTTGGTGATTCCCGTGACCAGAATTAGGATTTTCATTGTTCAAATCACTATTCATGTCAACTTCAATCTCGTTCTTTACTTTAACATCACTTCCAATAACTGCCATCCCATCTGGCACTACCAGTTGTCCGTTTAAGTTACCGTTGGAATCCAAAATATTCAGGTTGGTACACATTTCACTATCATTATGCCCATCTAAACTTAGACTAGTCTGGGTGCAAGAAGACTCTGAATCTAAACCCTTTGCGCCCAAGGCCGCACCACTACTTTCAGCTTCATTTGCGAAGCTTTTCTTATAGCCTTTTCGACTACCGAACCCATTCATTAGGCTGGAACTATTTTCAACTTCTCTTTCAGTGGTATCTGGCTGACAATCAAGACCAGCAGAACCTACCCTTTCCTTTACCTTTGGCACTTGAGGCTTTTCAGGAGCTTGCTGAATAGACATTTTCTGGACACAAGTGAGTGATTTCTGATTATGTTGGTTATCGAGCAAACCTCTAGAAGCACTAGCATCAGGAACAGTGTCCAGCATATCATCTTTCTTAAAGTCAGTAGTTGACTCTGCAGCTTTAACACCATCTACTTCTAAGTCCAGCTGATTATCAGATGGCATATTCTTGAGAGCCATACCACCATTTGGACTAAGAGTCTGTGCAATGTTCAAGGAAGAGTTCTGACCCTTATCTAAATCAGAAATAAGTCCTTTCACATCTTTGGGAAAATGTTGTGAAGGCAAAGATGTGTCATGACCACCACGAGCTATATCAGATGAACTTGATCTAGCACTGTCACGATTTGGTCGCAGCCTGTATCTTCGCTTGTATGCCTTTTTAGGGATGCCAAAAGCAGTAGACTTACCTAATTCTTTTGCATTTTGACTTTCCTCAAACTTAGAGGACTGCCCTGATGGAGTAACATTGCTCCTACTGGGATGTCTATAGCCCCTATCACTACCAACAAACTTGTTTTCCCCATCAAACAGCATGAGATTGTCAGCACTGTTGGGTTCACAAAGTTGAGGAGCCGCAGGTCGACCACTACTTTCAACTGAGTCTCCACGAGCTGAAGTGGTAACTGCAAAACTACCTTTTATTTCACTGCAATGCAAAAATAATAATAAGACAACTGTAACAAACACAGATAAGAAAAAGTAACACAACACCTGAGAGATTACCTGGTCACAAACTGATCTGGATGTTTATCTGTCAGTGAGGTGGACTGAACACTAAATGAAGCAGCATCCACAATTTTGAAATTCAGGGGATCGCCACCCTGCAATTTGAAGTATCAAATCATGTCAAAGGCACAAGTAAAGAATATCCAAACATCTAACAAGAATTAAACTGCCTTTCATACTTCCTCTAGAAATTCTAACTGTCTTTTCGTTTCATGTTGGCCACTGCACTCCTGCCTGTTAACAAGAAGAAATCTCACCATAAGTTTAGATAGAGTACTTTTTACAATCCCAAAACTTAACCTAGCAGGTTGAAGAAGCAGAGAATGCTAGGATTACCTTAGCTCTGCTCGAACCTTCTCAATTGCAGTTGTGTGCGGAGAAGTTTTGGTACCAATACCCACTCCGCCTTCAACAAATCCTCCCATGGAATCAATCCCGGCATTGACTATAACATCAGATCCAACACTACATCCATGCATTCCCTCCTTAAAGCTTCAGGGTATTACCCTCCAATAACATAATCCTCAATCAAATACCTACAAGCAAGAAAATAGTTAAGACACCATCAACAACAACAACATACCCAGTGAAATTCTACAAAGTGGGATCTGGGGAGGGTAGAGTGTACGTAAACCTTACCACTACCTCGTGGAGGTAGAGAGGCTGTTTCGGAAAGACCGTTGGTTCAAGATATCATCCATGAAATAAAATAACACCAACGGAAACAACACTCATATCAGTGCATATGACCAAAATTGTAAGCCTTCTTTGGGTATCAAAAGGGAAAAGACTCGAATTAAAAATTGTTTACAGTTAAGAATGTGTATTAGAAAAATACATAAGCATGGCCCAATGCATTTCCTAGGACATACAATCACAGTGCTGTTTTTTCCTTCACGTTTCACTTGTTTAACTAACAAGTTTTTAAGTCAATAAGAGAAATGTTCACACTCATGAAATTAACAAACCCTTTGAATGTACCAAGAAAAGCAATAACGTCAAGACTACAGATAAATTGCCTTAATTTGTTAATAGATTTTCTAAGCAATTGCTTAAACACTGGGGATCATAGAATTTACTAACTGGTCAAACAATTGCTCTAAGGTGCAGACTGGCATAAGCAATAAATCCCTATACATCATACCTAGCACATTCAGTTTTTAATCCCAAGATAAATGGAAGTGTCGGCGGAAGTGCTTATTTAAGCTAAAAAAAAATTGTGTTCGTAAATCCACTATAGATTTGGACAGACAGTTGAATTCTTATCTTTGATCCGCTTATCATCCCAAAATACCACGTTTTCCAAGGAGGGATAAAAATCTAACAATAAGTTTCAGAAGGAATCACAATTATAGCAGATTTATGACAATATGGCATGATACTTGGTCGCCAAACACATAATAACAATATCAACTCCTATGGACTATCTACAGCTAAATATTTTCTCTTTGGTGGTGTTGGGAGGGGGAAAGCAGCACATGACCACATGCAAGCAAGAGACAATATTCATGGGAAACAAATCGTTGGGGTTAAAACTACACAAGGCATAGCAGCTTATGCTGGATAACTAGACATATGGCAGGGGAAGAAGAAATAACAGATCACCTAAAACTGAAGGAGAAATAAAATAAAATAAAACATAAAATAAGATCCTAAATGTGCATATTCTCTAACCGTTTTCCTTTTTACACTTTCTATAAACAAGACAAAAGAGAGAGCATATGGGTGCACGTGCACTTACATAGATTTGATTGGTTATAGCTGCAGTTCACATACATAGATTTGTTAGGTTATAGTTTCAGTCCATAGATATCAGTAACCATTCATTCTACAAAACAATTATATCTCAATTTCTCAAGTGCAGCTATAGGAAAAAGCTCATTCCTGCATGATTGGACAGTAAAGCAGAAACTTTACAATCGTAACTTCTAAGACACGAGAAGGGAGCATCTTTCACGCACTAGTCGCTACTGTTCGTATCTCTCTCATTTTCTTGCAAGCACACTCATGTTGTGATCAGCAGCTTCAATATATCGGATAAAGTCCCACGAGAAAGGAAACCTCATGGAAAACAAAGCATCACTTACCAACATGCACAGCAACAATAAATTATCATATTAAATTAAGCTGTGTCTAAGAACCTGTGTATGGAAAGCACTGAACATACAAACTTCCCTAACAATTGAAGCAAAATGCACAGCCACAGATGGAAAATTCTGGAACTTTACATTTCCCAGTTAACAAACAAAAGCCCCAAAAGAAAAAACAATTTGTACCACTTGTATGAAATCTAGGGTTTGCACGAAAATGAACAGAGACCAAATTCTAGGGTTTGTAATGCTTGTTAACCAAAATCAATACCTGAATTGCAAATAGTTACACCCGAATTGCAGATGGGGCTGGCAATGGATCGCCCCAAATACTTTCTTCAATTTCTAGGGTTTTGGTTTGATGCAAGGTACCTCAATTCAAAGCGGGACACATTTGCCCTAGAAATTGAGAAGCCATGAAAGAAATTAAACTTTTCTACAAGGTCCTTATCCTCTATAAACACATGAATACATATGTGATCATTGAAAATGCTCCCTCCTGGATCGTCTTCTCCTTCGTTTTTCTTCTTTTTCTCTTCTATTCGTCCTCGCAGAGTAGTGGGCTGGGTATTCAATTTCGGGTCAATTTGGGCCCTTTTTTTTTGCCTCCCTAAATTTATATGAATTCACAAACACAATGTCCTTCTACACTAACTATTCTCTAATTCCTGTTCTTCCTTTCAAATTTTGGGTATAGCATAATATCATTTCACTTATAATATAAAATAATATATATAGATGGATGGTTTGATAAATAGTACATTTTTATTTATTATAACGCGTCGATGATCTTATCTGCATTTAACTATTTTAAATATAACGCTTCAATGGTCTTATATGTATCTGTCCTGTTGGTCTTATCTGCATCTTAACTATTTAGGAAATAATGCTCCGAAGGTCTTATTTGTATCTTGACTATTTAGGATATAACTCCCCGATGGTCTTATCTACGTCTTAAGTATATTATATTATACATTTCGTGTAAAAATGTTTTTCAATTTCTCATTTTGATTGGCTTACATTTTATGAAAAAATGACTTTCAAATAGACTTATTTTCCCTTCACCACCCGATTCGACACATGACCCTGACTCGGTAACCAACTGTCTACTCCAATATGAGACCCGACTCTTGGCCCCAACCAGGGAATGATAATATTGATATGAGACTTGACTCTAATTTAGACCCCGACCCTCTATTCAACTTTCGATTCTAGATTTAACCCTAGACTCGAGACACAACTCTAACTCATACTTGGAACCCAACTTTTGAATCTTGATCTGGGATTTGTCTCCCAACATCAACTCGGGGACCTAATACTAGAGATTCAACTCTCGACTCTAATCGAGGACCTAACTCTCAACCCCAAATCAGACTCTGAATCAATATGTGACCTTATTTCTGACTCTAATATGAGACCCAACTCTCAACCACAATCCAAAATTCTGGACCCAACTTTCGTCTCGGGATCCAACATTCAATTCTCCTCTAGGATTCGACATCCAAATCTGATCTTGGACTCAACCTTGATCTCTATTTGAAATCTGTTTTTCGGTATTTACACCCTATCTAAGACTTGACTCTTTGACTCCAATTCAAGATCCCAAATTTGACTTCCGACTTCCAACTTGCCTCGAGACCCAATCCTGACTCGGAATGGACCCAATCCTACTTGAGGTCAAGGTCGAACATTGGCTCATGATCATGAGTCGGGGGCTAGTGATATGCAAAGGTTTGATTGAAAATCAAGTTTTGATTTAATGTCGGGGGTAGGATCGTGTCTCAAGTCGATGTAAGGGGCCAGGTTGAGTTGGGATCATAACAAGTATTCGGGTCCGTGTTAAAGGGGGGGGGGGGGGGGGGTT